GTTCGTATGAACCCTTTGTACAAACAAAAGTAAGAGAAATTTAGGATAAGAATACGAACATGTTCTTGCATGAGGCCCAATATTTATACTGAGATGAATGTTTCTGGATGTGGGAGGAAACCAGACCATCTTTATGTGTTAAACATGCCACTATGAAGCCTGATAATACACCTGATGAGGCATGCAATGATGTTTTTAGCCTTMATCTCTATGTGTGTGTGTAAGTGAGTGAGCATGTGTTTGTGTCTGGTACCCAAATATGTCATGAACCACTCTGAAGAACGTAATMTTTGTGTATACATCCACAACTGATCTACCTTTGGTGTCAACCTGATTCAAGATGGTTCTCACAAACAACCAATATTAGAACACAAACATGGCTGTACCTCAGTTAATTTTATTTTRTTTTGATCTAACATTTGATATGATAGTAGCAGARAGTCATTCAGAACACGTACTCTGAGCGTGGCATAAATATCGAATAAGGACATTATTTTCAAAGTTTGATCAAAACTACAAACTCAAACTAAGATGATTGTAGTTTAAAGTTCTGGCAGGAAAATGGCGGGTGATATGCATAACTTAATTAATAGGCCTTTACTTGTATATGTGAGCTTTAAAATTGTCTCCAAGAAAAAGAAAACAAATACAGCTTTTGTTAAAACTTCTTTGTGCTTTTATTAAATTCAGCCTTTATGATTCCAGACTATCTTATACAGTAGTTCTGCCTGATACAGGTTGCCTTCAGGCCCAGGCCGCCCTTGAAAAAGAGATCTGAGATCTCAACGGGACTTGCCTGGTAAAATAACGATAAATAAATAAATGATACATTGTTAAATTGTGTGTTAAATGATTTAAAGCTAAAAACACAGCTGGACATGTAAACATAAAATGTAAACAATGTTAAATGATTTAAAGCTAAAAACACAGCTGGACATGTAAACATAAAATGTAAACAATAAAGTCAGAGCCAGCTCAAAGCCAAATCGGCGCTGCTAAAAATAGTTTTAGTTGGTAATTACACTTTTAATCTCTTGGCTCATCGGGACTTCTGATTCRTGATGAGGAAGATTTCAGCTGCTGATGAAAATCAGTCATGAAGCGACTGTGAAAAGACAATCTTAGAAACCACAAAGATCACAGTGTCTCCCAAGCCAAATTAAAAGTGAAGGGTGCCGAGAACTGATGGCGAGAAATGAAAGAGGCGCGTGACAGATAGAGGGAGGATAAATGAAGGGATGACACGAGGAAGTGAAGGAGAGAAGGGAGGAGGGCTGTGACTGTGGTTTAGGTGGTTACATCACACGCTGGCTCTTGCTTGAAACACATGTGATGCACACACACACACACACACACACACACACACACACACACACACACACACACACACACACATCACAGCCTGTCCGCCATCCAGTCAAAAGTGACAGGGTTTAAAACGGAGAGACAGAGCAAGTGAGGGGAAGAGCCCGGAGAGAAGGGAAGCCACAATGAGTGGAAAGAGTGAAAGATTTAAAAGTCAAGAGAGGTCAGCCAAGTTTTCGTGACAAAAAAATAAATAAAAAAAAGATGTTCTCAGAAGCTCTCCACACGGCTTCAGAGATTAGTGCCTTGGGCRTAAAAGAACTCCCTCATCTAAGTTTATTTCACACTTTTTTGTGTTTTTATCTTGAATGAAAAACATTACATCATCTTTGTTTGGGTTTTGACTTTTATCATGGCTGTCAGTGTTTTATATTTACGATTCATAAATCCTCCTTGATGTAAAATTAGGTCAAAATTTTTTATACTGCTTTGAAAAACTGGGTTAGAGTGAGATATATATATATATATTTTTTTTTTTGTCTTTGAAAAGATAATAATRTCCCCAGGTGGAGAGCTGGGTCCCTAAAAAGAGGTCGTAGGATGGATGATGTCAGCAGAGATTCCTGTTAACTCTTCGTTTACACGCAGTATTAATTAATTATTAAAAATGCCCCTGAGGTGGGCCATCATTTGTCTGGGTGTGCGCACAGAGCTGTTATCAGCGTAGAGTAGAAAGAGGGAATGTGCCTTCTGAAGAGGTAACACAAACACACACACACACACACACACACACACACACACACACACACACACACACACACACACACACACACACAC